AGCCTATATATGCAGGCAGTTATCATCACTTAATGCAAGCTCAGATTTTACAGTATACTTAGGGATAACCTTTAGTTTGGCTAAGAGTAAACAGGGCATTGGTACTCTAAGCCCAATGTTTGGGCTACAAAGTCCAGGCAACTTTCATACATAATTATCTTTAGGAAAGAAATTGTTCTGCCCCCAGAATAACTAAAACCTTCTCTGCATTACCCATAGTTCAAAAATACCTAAGTAAAACCCTTTTCAATTGCTAAGTGTGATTGGAATGCTAAATACTAGTTACTAACTCCAGGCAAAATAACTTTTCATTCTAGGCCTTATGGCTGATTTAGTTCAGGCTCCTTCCTTTTTTTTTTTTTTTTTTTTTAAGGGGGGGAGTGGCAGATTTTGCTTTCTTTATCCTTTACCCCTCATTCCTTTCTATACGTCTTATGAATGGATCCAGAGACTTTGTTTCGTTATGAAAAGGGGCCAGAGATTTTTTGCAGAGATAGCCTGAGCATGGCAGGGGTTGGTCAACTCTACCCCCTCCAGCATTACTAAATGCTTCTTTATAATATCAAAACATCAAGACAATTTGCCTGGCCTGGGAGCTAGATGCCTAGGCATCACAGAAGGGGCAAATAAAAAGCAGAACAGGTGTTAAAACATTTTGGACTGGATTGAGCGAGGGGCAAGGACACATAGCTTAGGCCCTGGTACAAGGAGAAAGTAAAGGGAATTTACTTTCTGTGACCTAGCCAGAAGTAAGGATTTGGGACTTTTTTTTTCCTTTAGTCAGGAAGGAAGTCTTGACAGTTTCCTGAGCAACAATTTTATATATCATCCAGATGAGATACAAGAATGACATTATAGTTAGTGTTGAACTTGAAGTTAAAAAGACCTGTGTAATCCTTCTCATCTTAGAATTCTTTGTTTCCTTCAAACATTGTTCAAGTGCCACCTTCTATGGTAAGCCTTTCTTGATTTCCCCCAACTGTTACTGTCTTCTACTCCTAAAATAAATTTTGCCTCATCTTCTATATATAACATTTGTTCCAAAAGCCTTTCTTACAGAGGACTTACAGGAACTGTTATCATCTCTTTAAGAGCAAACGCCAAAAATTACAATTTTAACTTTTTTGGAAGTGCTTTTCTCTATGGAGTTAGGGAGAGTGTGAGTTCAATTTTGTTCTCTGAGGATATATGGAAAGCTTGTGAAGAAAATTCTTTCTTCTTCAAACTATCAACTATTATTTTATGAAGGAACATTATAAAGACAACTTGATGAGAAGTAAATCTGGGGAGAGTCAATTAAGAATGACTTGAGAAAATCTTATTATTTACCTGTCATTTCTAGATAAAGACTAAGAGAGAAGACAGAAAGAAGTTCCATATTGTCTGTCTTCATGAACCTATCTTAACTTTTATTTGGGAAAGAGAAAGATAAATATTGAGAAGAGACTTGACTTAGTATCTTGAGTGAACTGAGTGGTGGATCTTTGTTTCCAGAAGCAAAGAGAAGTCATTTGTAATTACAGAGATATTTAGAGGTGTGTTATGGGTTGGACCTGATTCAGGGCAGTCCTCTAGTAGTTAAGGCTCAATATTGGAACAAAAGGAGGTCATTCAACAATTAAGAAAAAGATGTTTATTTAGCCATGGAAGAGCGCTATTCAACAAAGGATAGGCATCAAGGACACTCTGAATGGATTCAGCTGAGCATCATCATAATTCACCAGCCACCATCAGAGTGCCCCCATCAATGAGTAAGTGACACTAACAATCTAAACCTAATTTAGTCTCTTGAGCCAACCTAGTCTCAAGTAATGTTTTTAAGGAAAAACCAGCCTAACTTATATAGGGGTGGGGGAGAGAGGAGGATATTGCTTCTACCACAAGGTGACTCTGGCTAGTATTGTTCTTAAAGCTAAGATGTTGTAAATGTAGCCCTCCGGACTCTGGGAGCCCTTATTCCAACTCTCATGGACACCAAAGGATATGACCCTCTCAGGGTTCTAGTGATACCCCTAAGGAATTGAAATGTTCTGTAATGCTATCAGTTTGAGACCCCATTCCTGGGTATTCTCTTCAATATCAAACACTAGTTGGAGTTACTATTTGCCTATATCATTGACTAACCCAGTAATTTGTGCCTCAATATAATTTTTGAAAAACGGTATTAATTAGCTTTTACAAAGGGATATTTACTAGGAAGTTATAGTAAGAAGAGAAGACTATTTCCCCCAACAGAAAATAATTTTCCTCTAATACCACTGTGAACTTCTTCCTTTGCCACCTTGTTCCTTGGGGAGAGTGGGCTCAAACTTAATAGTAGTTGTTAAAGAGCATTTGCCCCCACAAAGTTTGTTTCCAAATGCAACATAACCACTGGACAAGTCCCTTTCTTGCTATAGGTCATGGGATCTTGGCTGCCATCAATCCACTACTAAACTGGGTCAAGCAGGTTGTGATGTTGTGATGGTGCTTCACCAGGCTCTACTGCCAGCAAACTCCTGTGTGGATTTCTGATATTTTGAGATCTCTCAAAGCTCTATACCAAAGGAAAATGGATACCAAACAGGAGGTGGCTCCAGGCCTGACACAGGCTGTGTGTAATTGTTGGCCATGTGTAAACTGACTTCTTTGGGACTCTGAAGGCCCTCTCTCTACTTAGAGAACCTTAGACAGTAAACTAAAAGACTAGTTGAAATAATTAACAATTTTAACAAAGTTGTAGGATATAAAGTAAACCCATGTGAATCATCAGCATTTCTATATATTACCAACAAAACCCAGCAGGAAGAAAAAGAAAGAAAAATTCCATGAAAAATAGTTGCAGACAGTATAAAATACTTGGGATTCCATTTGCCAAGTCACATACAGGAATTATATAAACAATTAAAAATACTCTACACAAATAAAGACAAATCTAAATAATTGGAGAAATATTAGTTGTTCAGGGTAGAAAGAACCAATATAATCAAAATGACAATACCATCAAAATTTATTTATTTATTCAGTGTTATATCAATCCAACTACCAAAGGATTCTTTCATAAATAATCTTTCTTTCATAATAATAATTCTAGCTTTCATAAAGCTAGAAAAAATTATAAAATTCATCTGGAGGAACAAAAGGTCAAGACTAGAAAAGGAATCAATGAAAAAAAACAAACATGAAGGAAGGCAGCCTAGCAGTACCAGATCTCAAAACATATTACTCACTGGTAATCACTGAAACAATTTGGTATTGGATAAGAATGAGTGGCTGATCAATGGAACAGATTAGGTACACAATATGTAGAAGCAAATGAGCATGGTAGCTTAGAGTTTGATAGATCCAAAGATCTGTCAGATATCAGGGCAAGAATTCACTATTTTGAATCCTTTAAAGAGAGCATCCTACTCCTTGGACTACCAGCATTTGATCTGTGGTAAATAAATATAATTCTAGGCCAAATATCATCCTTGGAGAGCAAGGGAGAAATTGTCCTAGAGCCTGCCTGCCCTCCTCCACTAGGCTACTCGAAGTGCAGTCAAGGCCCTCTTCTGACTTCTTGCTCTCCATTACCATGGTTTCTCTGAAAATGGGGTGAGCCAAATCTCAGATCAGATAGCCATCTAGCTATACAACACTCATTCCAGCTGAGCTATAATACTACAAATCTATGTATTACCTATCATAAAATAAAGTAGAGAAGAATGGAAGAAGGTAACTTCCAGACTTATGGCTGGAAGGGAATTCTTTTTGCAAATATGGAAAATAGACCATCATCAAGGATGAGAGACAATTTTAATTACCTAAAATTAAATTGCTCTTACATGAACAAAATCAATTCAGGTAGACTAGAAAGAGATGTTCATTAGGAAAAAAAATCTTTGCATAAAGTACCTCTGATAAATATTCGTTATCCAAGATATATAGAAAATTAATGGGAATGTATATGTACATATATGAGAAAGACTCATTTTCAAATAGATAACTGCTCAAAAGTTACAAGTGTTTGTTCATTTCAAAAGAAGAAATATAAACTCTCAGTAACCATATAAAATGCTCTGGGTACCTAATATTAAGAGAAATAAAAATTAAAATAACTGTGAGGTTTTATTTATACATTGAATTGCCAAAGATGATAAAGTAAAGAAGTGGACTTTTTTGAAAACACACACAAACACACAACAACGAAGTTGTTTTAGTTGTGAAATGATCTGATCATTCTGGAAAACAAGTTGGAACTATGGGAGAAAACTCACTCAACCATATATATCTTTGACCCAGTGATCCCACTACTAGAACTAAATAATGACAACAAAAAAAGCAAGTATTTATGCCAGTGTATTTATGCATGAGTAGTTTTGTGGTGGCAAAATATAGGTAACAAGGTAGATGTCTACATATTTGGGATTGGCTGAATATGTCACAACTCATGAATATTATATAATATTAGAAACATAGGATGTAGAATGCAAAAGCAAAATCACAACAGTGTTCACAAATATCATGATAATGTAAAGGGAAAGAATAACAATGGGCAGCTGAAGTCAGGTAGGTTATAAATGATCAACTTTAGTCCCAGAGAACAAATGATGAGACACAATTATCTCCTCTGAGTAGAGAAGTGGGGTACTGTAAGGGCAGAAAGTTGCATATGCTGTTAAGCATTATCATTTTGTCAGTTTTGCTTAACTATTTTTCTTTATTACAAGGGGTAATGTTGGGAAAGGTATATATCAGAAAATTATTGATAGGTATATAAAAATAAAGGACTTGATCAAAATCTTCCCTCAACCCCTAAGGAAGAAGAAACCACAAAAGTAGATGATAGGGCTACCAGATGACTGTAGCAGCTTAGCAGAGAAGCAATGAATGGCAGCCATGGAGACACAGCAATGACATATGGTGAAAATTAAGTGGAATTTTCCTTTTGGAGGCAGAATGGAATGGAAATGGCAAGAGGAGCCTCAAGGATGGAGTCACATTAAAAGGACTGTATTAGATGAAATCAAGAAGTGAGAGTGCTTGATTTGGCAGCATATATATTAAAAGTGGAACGATACAGAAATTAACAAGGCTCTTGCACAAGGGTGACACACAAATTTGTGAAGAGTTCAATATTGTTTACTTTTTTTTTTAAAGACCAAAGATGATTGCCAAGGGCCTGAGCTAAAAGAGCTGTTCCAGAACCAATGCAATCCTTTCTTACAAAGGAACATGCATTTTTCTGGTGGTGCTCCCTTCCCTACCAGTGTGGGAGTCTTATGGGAAATTATGCTCCTTTGTGCATGGGGCTAAGAATGATTGTATTATATTTGATTTTCCCTTGTTATTTACTTTGCTATTTTGTACCAATTATAAGTTTTTTGCTATTTGATTTATGGTTCAATGTTCTAGGCACTGTGCTAGGTGCTGAGGATACAAATAGAAAAAAAAATGATCCCTACCCTCAAGGCATTTACATTCTATCAGTTTCTCTGGCCTCACTCTCTCAGAGTAGGTCCACCGTTATCTCCCCACTGGAGCTGTAGGGGCATCCCCAGAGGGTATGAGGCACTTCCTCTCTGATGTCACCAGCTCAAGGCCCCATTCCAGGTGTGTTTCTCCTAGTGTTAGTCATGAACTTCCATTTAGTCATTTAGCATTAATTAGCTTTTGCAAAGGGATAATAACTTCAAAGGTATAGCAAGAACTAAAGTATAAACATTCCTCCTCCAATACCATAGGGGTACACTCTTCTTTGTAACATTTCAGTTCCTAGAAAGAGTGAGTTCAGACTTAATGTAGATTCTACATAGCATTGATCCCACAAAGTTCACATCCAAATGCAGAATGAGTACCAAATGAGTATTCATCTTACTTACCTCGGGTCCTGATCTCACTTCTTGGAGAACCAATGTTGGGCTGGCTGTTAAAGCCAGTGTAGACTTAACCACCAGACTCCCCAACCTAGGTGAACTTCCATCACCTGAAACAAAAGAACAAATGCAGAGGCAGACAAAGAACTGAGGGCCATTTTCATGGGGCCACATGGCTTCAAATGAGGAACAGGCCCAAGGCATCACCCCTTCCGCATTACTCTTAGTGGATGACATCTAGCAGGAAGAACTCAACCAAAGAGAAGTCAAATCAAGATTAGAGATCTAATTAAGATAGAGGCCAAAGCAGGCAAATGCCTTTTTGAAGGCACTCCTGGTCTCGTTTCCCAGCTTTATGCCAACCAAAGAAACTATTGTCTGCCAGGTGGTTAGCTGACCAGAGCCAGTTACTGAATATCTTTGCATATTCCAAAGTCTCTCCAAAGAACTTTCATTATACATCATGGCAACTTCCCCAGAAGCAGGCTCTAAAACTTCTATGAGGGGAAATTGCATCAGTATTATTCTGCATATAGGCCAGTCTCCTATTACATAGGTATATACAGATTAAATATAGAGTTCATATCAAGTAGTTAGAGAAGGAGTGCGCTATACATTGGGGGATCAGAAAAGGCTCTATGTAGAAGATGGTGCTTGAGCTGAGTGTTGGAGGAAGTGAGAGATTTCTGAGGTAGAGGTGAGAGGCGAGTGCATTCCAGGCATGAGGAGACTTCTAGGTTTGCTGTACTATAGAGCCTAGCTCTGCTGTTGAGGAGAGAGACAACCCAAAGCAATGAACCCAGGAAAAACCAGGAAAAAAGGTTAAAAGATAGGGACTGCTGAAGGTCAGCAGCCTCTGTGGTCTCAACCTATACGTGCCTGCCTAGCAAAGTGAAAAATTTTAATAGAGTGAACTTCAAATAATAATAATAGCAGCTAGCTATTAGCTATTATTAGCTACATAGTGCTTTTGTGGTTTGTAATGTACTTTAAAAATATTATCTCATTTGATTGTCACAATAATCCTGGCAGGTAGGTAGGTGCTATTATTATTATTATTATTCCCACTTTACAGATGAAAAAACTGAGGTAGACAAAGGTTAAATGACTTGTCCAGGGTCACATAGCTAGTAAGAGTCTGAAGTGGGATTTGAACTCAGGTCTTCCTGACTTCTGATCCAGGGCTTTACCCACTGTGTCATCTAGTTGACAATTAAGAAACATTTATTTCCTCTTCCTCTAGCCACTTTACCACCACCACCTGCTTCAGGAGCAATGGAGGTTCCTGCCTGGTCTGTTGGTAGACAATACCCTGGATGGGGCTTGAGCTGTGTTTGCCTAAAGATGATTACTCAAAACATTCCACACTGAACCTGGGTTATCAAGGAATTCTAAAAGATGGATAGAACCCTTTTTAGAGAGGATTTTGGCCAGTTATTGCATATTGTAATTTTAAAATTGTAAACTGAATGAATTGTGTCCAAATTAAACTCAACACCATACTAAAGTTTCATGCCCCTCTCTTCCTGAAAGAAGCATATATTAGACTAACATGTGAAAATATTAGGCAAGACAACTCTCTTTCTACCACAATGTGAGCTCTGGATTGCTATTCTTTTGGTCCCTCCCCATAAATGGGGCTCCAGTAAGTCTAAACCAAGGAGGAAGCCTTTAGCATGTTATTCTTGTTTCATTTCACTACATTTTAGCCACCTTAGACTTTCATGAAGGCAGATTTTTTTCTTAATCACTGTGGAAGTCATCAGTGGTAAAACCTAATGTTGCTAGGTATTTAAATTGTTTTCTTCTCTTCTTGAATTCAAGTGCTGCTGTCTGAAAAAAAAAAGAAAGAAAGAAGAAAGAAATAAAGATCCAGAATTTTATGACAACTTGCAGCTTGGTATAGTAGACAAGGGTGCTGGCCCTGGAGTCAGTAAAGCGAGAGGTTCTGTGTGATCCTAGAGTTATAGAAGTGCTAGTTATTAATATAGTCTTCCTAGAAATAACCAATTGAGTTCAATTACCACAGATGAGGAACACAATTCTGTCTCCCTGAGAGAGGAAACTTTTCTGCCTCTTGCAGATCCTGAACTTTACATTTTTTTTCTGTTGTTTTCTCTGGGAACTAGTTGCCTAGAGCTGTGCCTTAACCTTAACCCCTCCTGGACATGAATTGATCTCTATGAAGTAACTGATAGTTCCACTACTGCTATAACTTTAAAATAATCACTATGTTCAAGGTTGAACCATATATTGGAAGGTTCAAAAGTGATAGAAGCATAGTTTGGTGACATTGGTCTATTCCTTAAACATGACACTCCATCTCTCAGCTCTAGGAGTATTCTTTGATTGTCCCCCATGCCTGGAATGCTCTCCCTCCCTGATTTCCTTCAAGTCCTTTCTAAAATCCCATCTTCTATAGGAAGTCTTTCCCAACCCCTCTTAATTCCATTGCCTTCTCTCTGATAATTATTTCTTACTTATCCTGTATATAGCTTATTTTCTCTAGGACAGAGACTGTTTTTTGCCTCTCTTTGTATCTCCAGTGCTTAGCACAATGCTTGGCACATTGGGACTTAATAGATACTTATTGACTGACTGACTGAAATCATGTTTTTGACAGAGTGATATTTCACTGATTTATTATGATACAGCATCTCTGTCCACAGGCTGAGGTACATAGCTGTAATGTTAACTAACAGAGATGTTTTTAAAAACTAAAAAAAAAAAGAAAATTAAATGCATGGAAGTCATTATTTTAGGTGCTCAGCTAAGTGCAATGGATGCTAATGAGATAACTATTATTTGATAATAATGGGCATTAATGACTAAGATTCTTCTATTGCTCATTATTTTCTGGTAGATACATTTGAAAGAGGATATGAACTTGTGCCTCCATCTCTTTGTATGTCATCTAGCACAATGCTGGGCACAATTGGACACAATGCTTATTGATGATGATGGTTTCATATACCAAGTCAATGTTATTAATGCCATGAAGGGATAAAAGTGGGTTTCCAAGGTATCTAACCTACTCTCATGGAGTAGTTAATCAATCACTTTCTAAACCTATAGAACTTGTATCTCTGCTGACCATTAGCAAGTGTTAAAACAGTTGTCTTTTTGAAAAAACATATGCTTATGATAGTGACTGGTAAAAATTATATTCCTAAAGGGCATGAATTAAAAGGAGTGTTTTTAAAGAAAAAAGCATTTTGAATCTGATGGATCCGAATACCTATGGTTTCAGATTTCTCTGACATCAGATGATAATTTATTAAGGACTTGCTATGTGCTCAGCACTGTGCTAAATCCTTGGAATACAAAAACAAGAAAGTAAGACAGTTCTTGCCTTCAAGGAACTTACATTCTAATGGAGGATGACAACATATAAAGGGAACTGGAAAGTAGTGTGGAGAAAGTGGACAGAGAATACGGGAAGTATTTGGTCAAGTACTAGAGACAGGGTATGCTACAAATGTTTGAATCAGCCTTTATTAGCAGTCTGGAATGGCTGTCAGTGATGTAAAGTCAGCTCATAGTGGGGTAGGATAGTAGCAAAGATGGTTTCTAAACTTTCCCTTTTTATATGATAGTCCCATATCCCAGATATATCAGTCCTCTTTAACATCTCCAAGGCCCTGATTGGTGGGGAACCGAGATGTTTTCTGTGATCTCTGGTCCTAGATGTAAATTTTAGAATGTTTGAGTATTGTAATTGGTTGAGGGAGCAAAAGAAGAATAAAAGTAAGGGAGAGAATCTAAAATTTTATTGATCCTGTTCTCGCAGCAGTAAGGGCCTACTTTCACGGACTTGATTTAGTTCCAAGAACTAAATCCAGGGTCCAAGAGTCTACTTCTCTGCACATGGGGTCATGAACTCACAAGGGGCTGCATGGCAGAATTACAAACAGAGGCTAAAGTTGTCCATGACCTTGAATTTATGATCTAATTCAACTTCCCTGAGCCAGTCTCTAGACTCTAAGGCACACTAGAGGTGCAACATTCACTGAGGGCCAAAACTTTGTTCAGTACTTCCTATATTGCAGTGTCTTACATCTAGGAGAGGGGCTATGAGGCAACTGCTAATGTGTGTATGCATATTAGGCACTTTGTTAATTCATTTACATTTGTAAAGGAAGGATGGCACTTGTCATTAATTACAAACATCAAAAGTAGCAAATATATCCCTGTACACGTAGTCCGTTCAAGCTCTGAAAACACTTATGCGAAACAATCACTCTCATAGATGAATTTTGGGCTCTAG